CCTGATTAACTAGTTTTTAATTTGTTACTTGAAGAGTATCTCCACCAAATTTAATGCTGAATTCTACAATGGGCAATTCTTTTTCTAGATCATAAGATATAAGATCTGTTCAGCCTTTCTATAACTTCCAAATACTTCTGTTTTTCTACTACTGTATCTTCTAAATCTTCCTTGACCAAAACAAACCTCAACAGGCATCAGAGAAAATTAGGAGAACAAGGGACCCTCAGAGGCTACTTTATTTTATTTTATTTATTTATCTTTCTCTGCTGGAGATATGGTCACACCCTCACAAGCAAGTGTCACTGTGGCAAAGAAGAAGTGAAGGGATTTGGAGAATGAGAAGCCAAGAGAGTGAAGCTACTAGTAATCCAAGAGGTGGGATAGCTGAAAGGGTGGGCCCAGGAATGGAGGAAGCCTTGAGGTCACAGCTCCCAGCTCTTAGCATCTCTACTTCTCTTGCACATAACTTCTGTACCTACAGACTTTAGAACATCTAGTGAGAGCAACAGCTCAAACCAGAACATTTTTCACACTGTGAAAACAAAACCCCCGACAAAAGCCGATCTCCACATACAAACCAATTTAACTCTTCTGGGTGACTTGACCAGAAGTCAGTGCTTTGAGGTCCAAAAAGTTGGTGTCTGGAAGCAAAACCTCCTAGGAACCCCACCACTCTGGAATTCAGGGGGCTGGCCTCAGCTCCCCATCTGGGTGAAGAGAGAGAGAACTAATTCATTTACAGTGAGGGTACACCTATTCAAAGCCTTTCTCTACAGCCTAACAATGAACATGCTAATTTAATGAATATCTCTAACAGGTCATTCAAGCAGATGCTGAAGGAAGTACCTCTTAGTGCCTGCTGACATTTAAAAAGAGGGTAATGCCTTTCCTTGAAAAATTGTCTTTAAAAAATCCATCAATTTTGCATATTTTAAATGTCTTTGGTCACACAACTCCAAATAAGTGAAGCTTTACTTCTTATCTTTTGATTTTTTTTCCCTCTACGTTTTTACTGTTGAGTAGTCAGAACAGATCCATAGCTGACCCTACAGCAGTTATTCAGAGACAGTTAATCACACAAGAGGAGACTGGCCATCCTTCTCCTGTGTTGCAGCAGTGGGTTCGAACCATGTGCTGTTGGGATTGCACTGCAGCTTCTTGTCACGAGGCTACCAGAACTCTTAATTCTTTGTTGGAGAAATAATTTCTGATGAATGAGCCTGAATCCAAGAAACTTGACATCAATTGTCAAGTGTCGTTTTCTCTCCCGTGGCAACAGGACTTGACTGTGACGTTCACCTCAAAGACCTCTGTTCTTCATTTCTGCTTTTCTCTTCTGCCTTCCTTTCCTCTTAGTGGTCTTTTTCTGTGTGGATCCCTAATGAGCCAGTGAGACTTGAGTGGCTTCATGGCCCTTACAGTTGACACCATGGCTGTTTGGTATTTTTCAATCACATCTCTTCAGTGGGGATTTGTACATACTTTAGGCAAAGTTCTAAGGAAAGTGGTTCTTCCACTCCTCACACTTCAAGAAGACAACACCACAGTACAACAAGGAGGTTCTATTTTCAAGGATTCTGTGAAGATAATTCAGTATCTTGAATGCTCCAGTAAAGCAGCAGTTCTCAACCAGAACTAATATACCTGAGACATTAGCGATGCCAGAAGACACTGTGTTGGCAGTGCCTCTTACAAGGAAGGGTGTCGATACTGTACTGAATGGATATTGGCCAGGAAGTGGCTAACTACCCCATAGTGCACAGAACAACCCGCGGTTAAGAATGCCCCAAATTCTCTTGGGCAGCAGTTGAGAAAACTTGCCCTGGAGGGATTCTTTTTTTATTTTTCCTGTTCTCAAGTCCTGGGGGGGTGGGGGAGGAAACTCTGCACTTTGATGATGAGTGTATGTGTCCCAGCTTCATCCATCCCACATGGATCCAGGAATTGGAGAGCACAGGGTACCACTGAGCAGGGGGGCAGAGTGCAAGGTCAAGGCAGGTCTCCTCAACCCCAACAGCTGTCTCAACTCCAAAGAGAGACAACTTTGACAAAAGCAAAGCACCAAAGAGTTACAAGGATGTTTAGTTTGTGATAAAAATCATTTAGCAGATTAAAGTGCTTCCTCTTGCCCATAAAATGGTATGTTCTTTAAATAACTAAGAAAGAAGAGGCATTTAGCTGTGTAGTCAGTAAGAGATGCAACTGGTGCTCAGCGTCCTAGCCAGTTCACCCCACCTTTGGAATCAGTCCATGTTGTAGGCAGTGGCAGTGGCGTTCTTCCTACTTTCTCAAGGGTGCTTTTGATCCACTGTGTTCTAAATGACCCTGCTTGTCCCTCCCCACATGAGAGGACTCAAGCGTGCTACCCGGAGCCAGTTTCTCTCCCTACATTTCTTGACTCTGTTCTCTGTCAAGCCCTCAGTGGTAGATGGATGCTTAACTGCCCAAACTTAACTCCTCTTACAGCCGAACCCATTTGCCTCACCTCTGCCACAGAATCCTCAGCAAAGACTCAGCTTACTGTGTCTCATTGGGTTTGGGAGATTACCTGCTTATCCCTGAACCAGTGCAGTGGTTAGGAGCATGCTGAGAGCTGATTGGCTAAGGTCAAAGTTACACCACGCTCTTAAAATTAGGGGAAGGAGAGAAATTGTGCAATAATACAAATTAGGAGAGCACATACACACTCTACTTTGTGCCATCAGACTTTGGGTTCTAAAGAGAGGGGTTCATGTTGGCTTTTTGTCTAGACTCTGCCATTGACTAGCCACGCAAGATGAAGTGCTTGGGTGTGTATATATGGTAAATGTGCTTGGCTAGTGGAAAGATTAGAGGTTTTACTTCACCCAGAATCCCCTGGGAAGAAAAGTCTAGCAATCAACTTCCCCAAAATTGGTCCTTGAAAACCTGTGGAATATGCTTCTACTCTGACATAAGTGGGGATTCCAAGTGGTGTACCTCTTCACCCACCCCGCCCCATCTGTAACTCAGAAACACAAAATTCCTATCAGGATGGTTATGAAAACTCAACCAAAGATCTTGGGTTCCTGTAAAGTGGTGCAAGCAAGACATGGTGCCGGTCCTAGATGTGAACTGATTCAGTTCACTTTCTAGAATCTGGAAGAATCTAGATGAGCCACAGCCCACTTCAGCTCATCTGTAACAAGCCTTTGGAAGCCAGTGTCTAAATTTATCCCAATGATCATTGTTGTGGGTCAGGGTGGGAAATCTTGTGAGGTCAATGATTGAGGTAATTGGCTTGCCTTGTATCTTGAAAAAGTCCCTCTCTTAAATGACATAATTGGTTTTAATTACATAATTAAGGCACTTAACATGTGTGGGGGGGGGTGAAAGGTTACTATTATATTTAGAAGCGAGATCTCCAAATGATGCAAGGGCATTGAAGCCAGCGTTTCTGCAGATTTCTCTTTTTTATTTTTGTAAAGGGAAGTCGAAGTAGGTTGGCCTTGGCCCTGGTGATTTAGAGATGATTATCCCTCACAAGCTAGTGGCAGGCTGCTCCCAGCATCATAGGAACCTTTGTAAAGAGACGGAAATGGCTTCCGTAAAGACCTCATTGCGATCTGAAGTTAATGAGCAGTGGGAACTCAACTGTCAGCAATTGAATCTGATTGGGCGGGGTAATTATATGATTGCCTCTGGTGTTTGCCCATGCACAGGGATATTTTTATTGGGGGGGGGGACCTAATTGCTTACTTACTTAGTAGAGTGAAAACCTAAACAAATTTGTGTTGTCATAGGTTAAGAAGACATCCTTTCTTTGTCTGAAAAATAGCTGCCTGCTGTGCTCCTGAGATGTAAGGGTTGGTTGGTTTCTTTTTCCATGTTCAGGCAAGGGACATTTGCAGGACTTAGATTTGTTCATAATATTGTAAAGAAAATGACGTTTACTTTGGAGGATGTGTGTTGGTAGCATGACCATGTGTTATTGCCGCATCTTGAAACATCTTCCACAACGGCCTCTTTCACGATGCAGGGGCAGTTAGAACACAGACAACGCTTTCGCTACTGCAACTCTCACAGGTTTTGCTTTTGGTTTCATTTGGTTTTTTCTTTTCCTCGTCCACACACGGAGGCTCTGCTGAGATGAACTTTATGAGTTGCCTTAGTTGCAAAGACTTGTGGGAGATATGTCAGTGGTAAGAAGAGCAATGTCCTAAGGTCTCGGAAAAAAGACGTGGGTCAAGTGGGAGAGCCAAGGGAAGGAGTCAGGGGATTCGCAAGTTGTTAATGCAAAATCGAGGCTAAGGATCTTGTCTGTTCCAACAGCCCTGAAGGTGAATGCTGGTGTGCGGGCAAACAGCTTACTGCAATGGGATGTGTTTTATAGCTGTTCAACCCAGCTGTATTATTTTTTTCCTTTCTTGTTATATAGGACAGATTAATTTTTAAGTTCTTTCCTTTCTGGGATCCCATAAGAAGATGTGGAAGCACAATTGGATTGTGGGTATTGGAAGTGCATCTTGTGACACCAAATCCAGGCTCCCTGGTTGGGTGTTGAATCCTGGTTGGATTTTGGATGACTTTAAACAAAAGACTTCAGCTCAGGAATGTTGCATGTGCTGACCCACCCCATGATTGTCTGGCTGACTCCCCAGGGTCCTTTGTGCTCGGTATAAATGCCACTTCTTCCAAGAAGTCTTCCTTCACCACCCACCCCCAGGCCGTGTTCTCTGCCTTTGCTATTTCCTCCATGTCACCCTTGAGGTTCCCTTACTCTTCTGTCCTGTAATTTATCTCATTTCCTCTCTCTCTCTCTCAAAGTTCCCATAAGCTCCCTGTGGGCAGGACCTGCATTTGTATTTGCCCTGCCTCCATTCCCTGAACCTGCTTCACGAGCGTATGCGGAACGTCTGCATGAGGAAAAGAATGGTTGTGGGGTGTCCTCAGGAACGGAGGTGTGTGCTGCCTGGGTTCCTTCCCTACTCTTGCTGTTAATACTGCTTTCTTGTTGCTTATAATTTTCATTGCCCTAGATGATCCAGCTCTGTCGGAGGCACGTAGGCACAGCCAAATCTCATGCTGTACATTGATCACCTGTCCAACCTTTGCCTAGAGTGGGAGCCCCCAGTTCCTTCAAGAGATCCAACTTTTCCTGTCTGTAAAGAAGAAGAGGAGGAGGGAGACAGCGGGGAGGATCCGGTGGCAGTTTACCACCAGAGCAGGTCCAGTGTTTACTCTTACCCTTTTGGAGGTGGGTAACTGCAAATGCCGAGGGGGGTGCTGGGCTTCGCAGAGACTACCTGTCGACCTTGGACTTAGGGCCTGCATGTACAAGTGAAAGGGTTGCTATTTTTGTCCTTAATCCACAGCCAGACAGTTTGTGCGATCCCCACCAGCATAGGCAAGTATCCAGATTCTCCACCCACGTTGTGTAAGTTATTTGCACAGACCTCTTGGCGGATGAACAGTTTTCCATGGGGTACAGAATAGAGTTTATTCGTTATGATGTAGTGATTATTATATTTATTGTTTGCCTCTCAAGCCTTTCTTGTTTTGTTAGCACCTCTGCATGCTGCAGAATCTCACCTAAGTGCCAAGCCTTTCTTGTTTAGACTTCTTGGTTTTTGATGGTTGGATGTTTCTAATCTCTTCACCCCCAATGACCCCCTTAGAGCATGTGATCCTGAATAATGACTGCGTAGATAAGGAGTATCATTATACTCAGTGCATATTATGCTCCATGCTTAAGCATAACCCTCTACAATGCTGGGATGTGTTTATCTAGCATTAGCCCTAAGCAGAACCTGATCCTATGATCTTGTAATCTTGAGTGAGAAGGCTAGCTACTGAGCTACCAAGCCCACACCTTCCCTGAGTTTTGACTCCCCACTATTGATCGGGTTGCATTAGTGAGTTGAGTGTGGATGGACTTTTGCGTGTGAGAATTGCAGGCTCTCACGTGGTGTGGCAGCGTCAGCCCACAGACACCACGATGCCTTTGTCTTGTGTTTTTTACTAGTTGTTTGCAGCCCGCTCCACTAGGCTTGAAGGACATTCTTTAGCTTCTGAATGTCTCCACTTCCCTCTTCAAGTCCTAGCTTTGCATTCCTGATTGCATTTCTGCTTTAGCATTTAAAAAAACCCCTCAACTTGTTGCTGTTTACTTGGAACCAACTCATAGCTGATCCTCCAGAGGGTTTTCAAAGGCTGTAAATCATCTGGAAGGAGATTACCCATCTTTCTCCTGCAGAGCAGCTAGGGGATTTGAACCACCTTCCTGTGGATTGGCAGCACAGATCTTTATCCACTAGGCCAGACTACAGAAATTGGAATAATTATAAATTCCTTCTAGGAAGAGAATATAAGTCAACCTCTTCTTCCAATAGGTGTTTTCACCCACACCCTGCTCTTTGAACTAGACAGGGACAGACCACAGTAAGCTTTACCCCTGAGTTGTAAGGGAAAGTTGAGTTTAATTATCAGTTTTGGAATAGTACCAGAGGATGTCTCATCACTTTATAGCCTGCCAGATTGAGGCAGGCAATCCTTACCTGCACAAATACATCACACACTTCTGCAACACAAGTCCAAAACTCAACTATTAAAAACTATCCTTGAATGATGTTTAATTTATAACTAAACTTGGCAATGTGTTCTCCACAGTAGCTAATTTTGTCTAATCCCAATGATTCACTTCCTGTCAGACTACTTCTGCATGCATTGGTTTACTCCTTCTATTATTATTGCATCATCTTGTGAAGTGAATGTTAAAGAACAAACGAACAGAATAAAAGCTTGGCTTTGTAAGCCAAACTCAAAATCCTAATGGTTCTTCCCATTTTACAAATTTTTCCTGCCCCTTTACTGGTTGATTTCTTCGACACACCAATCTGACCTCAGGCTCTCTGGGTGGGACCTGCATATATATCACCTGGGAGCCCCTTAGAAGCACACATTCTCAAGTCCCATGCAGACCTGCTCCATTTGCTACACTGGGAATGGGTTAGTCAGCAGTGTTTGAACCAGCTTCTGGTTCCTTTTAATGCAAACTCAAGTTTGAGAACCACAGGTTTTAAGCCCTTACCGGGTACAGCCTGTGAGATGCTGCCAAGGGGAAGCAGCCCTGCCACAATGGAGCTTGGGGGTTGCATCATGGGCACCTGATGTCAGTCCCTGAGCTCTGCAGAGTGATCTTTGTGAAGTGTAAATAACATTCTGCACTCACTTCTGAAATCCGTGCACGCAGATAGATCCCTGTGGGCTCAGAATAGGTGTCAGTGTTTGGCTCTGGTCTGAAGGCTTTCCTTGCTTTGTCCCTGCCGACATCCTTGGACATTTCGTCCTTCTCCCATACAGGCCTTCTTCCCACTCTTCAGCACAGTCCCCCTGAGTGTATGTGAGCTAGAAGGTAGAGGAGAGAAAAGAAGGGAGAGAATTTGAAGTTTAAACAGTAGTCGTGCTCACCAAAGTATTTTTTCAACACAGTGAAATATGTCTGTATCAATATCCCCCCCCACAAGCATATGTATGTTTGTATGTAAGCAGTTTTTGTGTACATTGTGTGTATGAGTGAAACTCACTGTCATCAGCTTAGTCCCAATTCGCCCTACCCTCTGTTGGATTCCTGAGCCTGTGGATCTTAACAGGAGAAGATTGTCCTTCTTCCCTCCCCGCAGATGCTGTTATTATTATTAAGAGCCTGTGAGTTCCAGCAACTGTTTGAACAACAGATCCGAGCTTCGCCCTGTCCTATGTTACTGTCACAAGCTCTGTCATGCTGAAACCCAGTGTGGTACCACCGCACTGTGTCAGTCCAGCTTGTTGAGGGTCTTCCTTTCTCTCTGACTCTGCCTTTTCGAACATAATGTCTTTTTCCAAGGATTAGACCCTCATGACAACATGGCCAAAGTGTGTAAGATGAAGTTTCACCATCCTTGCCTCTGATTGCATTTCCTCCAAAATAGATTTGCTTGTTCTTTCGGCAGTCCCCTTGTATAGATGTGATCATACCAGTGACCTCATACGAGCATCTGATAGAGTTGTCGCATCATTAAGAAACTATTTTGAGTCATTTAGACTCATTTGAAAGAGACTGCATGGCATAGTAGGTTACGTGTTGCGCTGGTAACTAGAAGGTCAGCAGTTCATACCCACTAGCCACTCCACAGGAGAAAGATGAGGCAGTAAGAAGCTGGACAGCCCTGCAAGCCTGATAGAGGGTCATCATGACTTACAGTCAGACTTTAAGGCATTGGATTTGGTTTTTGAAATCTAAATTTGCTGTCATGTGTTTTCAATGACTTTTGTCTTTGCACATTGGTCCAGCACAGTGTCGACCATAGTGGGAGCTGAGATGCTGGCCTTGAGAAAGTCTTTGTTGCATCAGAATATGGAAGGAAACGATGTACGATTCCTGTGCTCCAGGAGAGATGGTGGCCCCGTTCATTGGCATTTGTCTTAAAAATAAATAATTAAAATCTTCTATGAAGGCCAAAAAATTTTTAAAAATCTTTTATGAGGATTCTTTTGACTATTACACATACCATATGATCAATGGGTAAAGCAGCTGTCTAGTTTCTTATTGTGAGGTCAGAATGTGAAAAATAGACCTTTCAGGGTTCCTCTCATAATAAGAAAGGGAAGGCAACACATCTTTCTAATAGAAGTTTTACTAAGTGAGTTGGACTTGAGGTAAGAGGGTCCTTAAAGATGTAGAACTTTTTAGTCGAAAATTAAGGACAACACCACCCCCCATTTTTTATTTTTGTTTCTCCCCTCCCTCAAGATTCTGAGTTTTGCCATAACAAGGTACGTTCATGTAGAAATGCATATAATTTCTGCTTTTGGACATTATTAATTCCTGATGGTAGCTTTTCATGTGAGATTTCCAATAATAGAATTAAAGGTCAGTTTGGAAGTGCCATCTAGGAGTGGGAATGTGGCAGTGTGCTGTTTCTAGTCTCCCCGCTTCATTTTCTCTTGTAAGTATTTCCAAGGATGCGGAGGAAGTCCTCTGACCACTCTAAGCTCTATGATTTGTGAGCTCCCTGACTCTGAATGGATTCCATCTCGTGGCGATCCCATAGGACAGAGTTGGTCTGCCCCACAGAGTTTTCAAGACTGTAAATCTATACAGAAGCAGACTGCTTCTCCTTCCTCCTGCAGAGCAGCTGGTGGGTTTGAACCATTGACCTTGTGCAGTTAGCAGCTGAGCATTTAACCCCTAGCCCAGTGGGTCTCCTTGATTTGTGGAACATCCTGTCCTCTTTGGCTATGTTGAGGCTAGTCTGATGCAGTGGCTGGGACACACCTGTGAGGAGAAACAGAGGCCAGGCTGACTAAGCACAGGAACAGAGACATATATGCAAACTGTGGCTTTTGCTCTGAAGGGCACATGTAGCGAACTGTGAGCAGAGAAGAGGGAAAGCTGCCCTGGGTGACTGACAGAGTGGCTTCGCGATGGGATGAGTTTGAGGCTAAGAACTGAAGGGTAACCAGTGTTGATGAGGACATTCGTCTGTCTTGGCAATGAGGGTGGTGGGGAGAGTGAAAGAGTGTCCTAAGGAGTGGGCACCACCTCCTACATTTACTGGGATTCTGCCCCCAAAGGCTAGTAGCCAGAACCTCAGCCCCCCTTCTCCAACAGAGGTGAGATTGTGGTGTGTCCATTGGCAATGAATAGAGAACCCTCTACAAGGTGCAAACAGTTAACGGGCTTAGCTGTAAATGAAATGAATGCTGTTGGAGTCCACACCTCAGAAGAAAGGCCTGGCCATCTGCTTTCACAAAACCACCCACTGAAAATGTCCTGCTCTGGCACATGTGAGGTCACTGCGATGGGTGGGAATGGATTCCTTGACACCAGCACCTTGGTGTCTATGTTATCTTTGCTGGTTCCTCCGACTTTTCTGGTCCTCGCTTTGTGGTGCCTCCTTTTCCAGGTAGCTTCTGGTGGCTTCAGGGAAACCACTTGCCTTGGGAGATGCTCACCTGGATTTCAGGGAGGGGATGTGAGTCTTCTTCCATGTGGCCAGCACGTCTAAGAGTACAGAAACCCCTTCATCCTCTCCCTTCTTGTCCCAGAGTCACCTCTTTACATGTCTCCTCTCTTTGTAGAAGGGACATTTGCACAGGGCAGTTTCCTTGTCTGTGTTATTCTCAGAGCTTGGCACATGACCTTGTGCAGACCCAGCACTCAGAAATAATTAACTGATGAAAGAGA